AAAAAAAAAACATAGAGTGTAGAGTTGCAGTTTCCAGAAATGTGTATTATATGTATGTCAAATTTTATTCTTCTTTTGTAGCATCAGCAATCAATGTATTTACTCAAGAGTTCAACAACTTTACTTTTTGGATCAGACAGAAACATTACTAAGTCTGTCGCCTATAAATAAATTTTGTGACAGGCCTGTTATTCTGCGAAACATGAAGCATTACAGCAGATGTTGCATGAAAAGGGCTAACTGGTTTATTGTCGTTAGGAGTGGCGTTCTACTTCTTTTGAAGAATACCTTCAACAGGTTTTCTGACCCACTGTTGAGCGCGAGAATAGGAGGCTTTTTTTGGTTCGGTTAATTCTGAAAAATAATTAGAACATCTGGAATTTTTGGACCATCTTTGTTTTGAGTACTAACTGGTATATGACAAACTACCACTTTTCAGACGTGGCAATTTCCTTTGCAGCTGAGTTTTTTGAGTGACGAGCGAGCATTAGACTTTGTCTTTGAGTGTATCCTCCCGTAATGTGGAAAATGAAAGGATACGGGATATCTCAGTGCAAGTTGTTGGCTCTGCGGTAGTGAAAACAATTGAATAAGAAATTAGTGATTGTCTACAGTTGGCGGCATTTAGCTGCTTAAGGTCAAATCACCACACATAACCAGTGTAATATAAAAGCATTACTGTACCGTTAGGGAATTAAGAATTTTCTGGCATATGATTAGTATTTAAGGGAAGATGGAGAACTGTAATAGAGTATTGAATGTCCGTAAAATTTTTTTGCGGTTTTTCGGTTTGCTAATAAGTTGTTATAAAATAAATTCTGTATATAGCACCTGGTAAACTTTCGAAACTTGTACTTAAAGGGCAACTAATAGACACCACCTTGTCTAAGAGGGTCTTCAGCGCAGTGATCTACTTAATCACTACTTAACCAGAAAGATTGGTTTTCAGCTTTTTGAGTTTTTTTGAGCAGGTACTAGAAGGATTGCGGGTTAATAGAATTTTGCGGCAAAAGTGTTTGATCAGGTTTCGTTAAGCTTGATTGAATACTGTAGTTTCAGAGGGGAAGAAAGTGAACAAAATAAGGTTACCTGTTTATTTCTGCCTACTTCACGTTTTTGCAAGTGAAGTGTAAAACACAACCAGTAATGAAAACCACGGAGAAAAACATAAATGAAATACTTTCCAAAAGACACTCAGGATTATTAGCGAAAAATCGCAGTATACGGTAGAGAGGAACATTCTACATGACATAATGCACCAATTTCACCACCGCGACTAAAAGATTAACAACCTTAGAAAATGGCATGAGTGTAATGTAAAATAATACGTAGAAAAGAACCCTGCTGGTTCCTTTGGTACAGTTTTCATTAGAGCATAAATATCGCAGTAATTGTATCGAAAACGTTTGGTGATGAATTTGGTTTAAGAATATCAAACAATGAATTTTGAGCAATTCATTTTAGAAATCAAACTTTAAACAAACAATAAGGGATTATCACAGAGAGAGAACAATTTTCTTGGCATTAGATCTTGTGCGGCCAAATGAATTTCGTCATCAGTTTAAAAACCTAATAATGGTGGTCTGTGAGACCAGAAGGGGTCTGATTAGGCTAGCTTTTTCATTCTTTTACTTAATTCCTGAAAAAAGCAATTAGTAATTCTTAGTCTTCAACTCAATGCTATCAGTAGTGTCTAGTGCATAAATAGCTTGAAAGTCACTGTCGGTTACTACTTAATCAGGAAGTTATCTTATAAATCTGTAAATGAAGGAGTTATTCTGCCAATCGGTAGCAACGAAGAAGCTCTATAGTTAGGTTGAAAAACAAGGTCTCCAAACATTTTAGAAAAAAAAGGCAAACAAATTAAGTGAGGATAGTGAAAAGATGGGGAAACCACTGCTTACAGCCGTTCGGCACCATCGAGTAACAATGCGTTCCGGGTAGGTACTATTCGTTCACAAACGAAATTCCTTGGAATTTAACCCCCTAATCGCGAAAGTAACAAGTTACAGAAACCGAACAGTTGAATAAAATTTTGTAGCTATTTACCTAACCTCGTCTTCATCTGTTAAAGCAGTCAGTCTTTTGAGTTCAGTTTCTGACTTCTTATAAAAAAAAAGATATTTTTGTAACTATAATTTACGTCATTTCAAAAGCATTATTATGTTTCTCTTCAAGTAACACCTATGAAAGTTAGTGACATTCAAGCTTTGCAACTACATTCTTCCACTTTTCCAACGTCGCAGCAGTATACCTTCACTGACTGATTTATTAAACATTTTACACTAACGAAACCCTCAAAAAAGTTTCAAAAAGTGGCCTGCAATAATGTTTGTTTTCCAACGGTAAATGAACGTCAGGGTCATCGATAATAGTTACTAGACGTTGTAACACCCCAGAAAGTTCCTTCATTGAAGCTATTTCACTTCCTCAGTGTTCAGCAACGCTTAGATCTTAGTTTAAGCGCAAAAAGAACAAAGTTTCTGCACAATAAGCAACTAATTCAGAAATCCACCAGCTTCAAATTGCGATTCCTCGTGCTGCTTCATCTCGAGCATACGTTGAAGGAAAGCCGCCTCGTTTGACAGTAGATACCCGGTGAGGCCCCATTCTTATGTTCCTTTTAGCCGCAATCTGAAATAGCCCAAAACTGCCATTAAGAAAGCAGCAAAGTAAGTACAGAAAAATGTCTTAATTCGACTTTTATTCTCTAGTGGACCTTTCAGAAAAAATTATAAAAAGCTTCAAGGACCTTCAGGTTTGAATAATCGCTGTTAGTCTCATTTCTTTTTGTCTTTTTATTAATTTTTATATTTCTAACAGAGTTTTAGCTTAAAAACTTTGACTACACACCGCTAATATTGAAAAAACCGCTATCTGATTTTATAAAACATAACTCTCTTTAGTAGATAATTTTGCTCTACTTTTTTTCTAAAATTACCTCAAAAAGGTAAAACTGAAATCATACAGCGAAAGCTTGATTTTTAAATTTTGAAGATTGAATAATATTAGATTAAATCATAGTTCTATATTTATTCTTTATTCATTTTTTTTCAAAAAGTACTACGTAACAGGAGACAGATTCACTTGATAAATCGGTTTGACTGATTTTTCTTTTAGAAATCTTAGTGTGGTGCTGAATCTTCTTCTTTAAATTTATTTAAAAATACAAATGAGAATTAATATATTTTGTGCACAAGCAGATGGATTTGAATCGTGTTATGGTATATAAACTGTTTGAAAAGATCAGAAGTAAACTATTATTTGGTCTCGCCACAGTACCCTGTATTTTTAAAAAGCTGTCAAGTGTAGTATACCAATGAGTTTGTGCTACGTGTAAAGAATCTTATTGGAACCAAAATTGTTCTTTGAAACTCGGAGGCAGTCTTTGCTTACTCTAATCTACAAAACCAAACTAAGTACGACTTTACCGATTATGAAGCTATGAGTTTTAGGTATTTCTTATCACGCTTACTTTGAGATTAAACATAGAACAATTCAAAGAATTTTTTCTAATTACTATTTGCTTAAATTAATAAGGATTCTGCCAAAAGTGATCTGCTTCTACACTGTTGTTAAGAGTGTACATAGACTAACTAAGCGCAATTAACCAGTAGAAACTAAATTTATGTTTTATCTTGATTTGACTTTTAGCAAAATGTCGCATTATAACTTGACCAAAATTCTAACAGAAAAAATATTTAACTTGTATGGGTTAAAAACTTTCTTGGTTTTGGAAAACAAAGAGCAGTTATTAATGGTGATGCCACTGCCTTTTTTGGCGACTCCGGAGAGGTAGCTGTAGATCTCTTGTTTTTCTCAGCACTAATGGTTTTTATTTATTTTTAAAAATGATAAATTATTGTCATCTGCTGAATTCTGCAAGCGCTAGCTATTAGTTTTGTATGGCCAGGTGCTGCTAATGGCCAGCAAAGAGGCAAAGAGTTTTGACAAAAATTTTAGTATTATTTACTTTTTATGTAGCCTAGTTCAGATAATTTAAAACTACGGTCACAACACATTCGTACAGAATATATTTACTACTTATTATTTAAAATAAGAAGGCTGTTTGCTCCCCTTCTAGTAAAAAGCTTATTCAGAAGCTCGAAACTATTCAATATCATTTTATCAAAAAAAACCCCAGAATCTTTCTCATATTTAGACTACTCAAAAATAACAGCTTGTAGCTCTCAGTTCTGACGTTTTAAATAAGGATATTTAAAGGCTTATTAACTAAATAGTAGGAAATGGTTTGTATTTTTTGTTTCAACTTTCTGTACCGTACTTTTACTTAAGGTGACCGTTCTACTAGATCTTACAGCTTAAAAACAGCAATCTCTTCTTGTAAAAGCTACTTGACTGTTAATTAGAATATGTTTGAATATGGTTCGTATTTTTTGCAGTTCTTCTCAACTTCTCAAAAGTAATCGACTAAATTTTGCTGCTGAATATTAAGTAGTAATTCTTGTTAACTTCCACTTTTTCTACAATAAGAGATAGACCTCAAGTTTGAAAAAAGACAAACGCTATTGCTGGAGCAATAAACAGATCAAGGTGACCTGAAATTTTAGAAAAATTCCTTGTATAAAAATTTTATCTGTAAACTTGAAACGGAAAAAAAGTTGGAAACAAGGTAAGGAGTACTTAAATTTTGTAGCGCATAATGTGCTACAATTCTGAATAGTGTTTAAGCGATACACTTTCGTTCTTTAATTTAGAGCGAAGTATAAAAGGTTTTTTTTTTGCAAAACGCTTTTTGAAGTCAGTTTCCAAAAACTAAATTCTTGCTTGCAAAATTATAAAACCAATTAGCATAAAAAAGTATCTGTTTTACTGCTTACAGTTCAATTTCGAGATTTAATGCTGTCTTAAACAAAAAATCAAGAAACACCTCCAAAAAGCTAATTATTCAGAACTTCAGTGTTGTTCAAAAAATTTGTTGATCGAAACTGCATAATGCTATTTTAAGAAATTTAGGTCGCATAACCTAAAAAATTTCGAAAAAAAGAGTGAAATAAAATAAAATAAAATAAATAAACCAGAATAAAATAAAGTAAAAAGTAAAATTAAATTAATAACGCAGAGTAAAATGAAATAAAATAAAGTTCTGTTTTCGACAGGACTGGAACTTTTTCTGGTACTTTGAGATGTTATCAATACATTGCTGGTGGTCAAATAACAAATAAATGTTAAAGTACCGTATTTTTTATAGGAAAAAAACATGCAATTGAAAAGAAGTTATATTTGCTTTGTCTCTGGAAAGAACTGATTCAAATACTTCGCAGTGACACAACTAATTGTTCTTCAAAGACAAAACCTGTTTTCTCAACTTGAAATGTCAAAAATATTTGTCTTCCATAGTATACTTAAGGAGTACTTGAAAAGTTAAATTTTTACCTATGGTATAAAGTCAGACAGCTGTCTATACCTGATATATGTGAACGAATCTTTGTAAAAAAGATTTTTTTTCAGAAAAAAAATAAAAATTGAAAAAAAAAAGGCAACCTTTTCAAAAACGGTAAGATCATCAAATTTAGTAACGCAGAAGAAATTTATGCAACAAAATGAAATGATGAAGACGAAAAATGCAAACACAACAGCAACGACCACCGGAGCGATATAGTCGAATAAGTCGAAGTCTTGAATTGGCATAGCTAAAAATAAAGGGAACTGTATGCTTATCAGAACTTTTAGCCACATCTTAACTATCCAATTATTCGCAAAATTTTCGGTTCATTTCGATATGAGATACTCATACACGTTATTAGCACTGTTGTGGAGTGGTACGATAAAACACCTTCGAATCAGCCACAATTTGTAGGCGATAACAAAATCCTCATTTGATGTCTATTTAATAAAGTTTTCACAGTTGTCTTAATGGACACTCTGTCACTGCAGTCGTAGTATACAACAAACAAATTTTAGTGTTAAAAAAAACAAAACTTTCTGTTAGAAAACAAATAAACAAAAAGAAAAAAAAAGACGCGCAACTAAAAGCGTATGAAGAAAAACAAGTGCAAAAGCATAAAAACAAAGAAGTCGTAAATTTGTTACGTATTTGTATGGATATATATGTGCAAAAAATAAACCTACTAGTAGCCCTTAAACTACTCTATGACCGATTCCTAAACAGCTTAAGGAATGCCTTATCAAACAGAATAGGATAGTTTTGAAAAAAATTTAGATGAGAATAAAAATTTCTAAAAGTAAAATTGTTTATATTTATAAAAGTCAGGACAACAGTTTTTAGCAACAATAACGGCTCAAATAAATAAAAACGACGGTAATTAAATAACCTTAAAAGTACTGCTGATAGTTTTAGTATTGATACTAGTATTAGTAACAACAGTAATACTACTACTACCACTTATGCCATTAC